AGTTTTAAGTGACTTGCCTAACACCACACAGCTAGTAAGTGTGCAAATTAATTACTTCAGTACACTTATAAATTATTAGAGTTCTCACTTGAGGAAAATTTGTTATAATTTTTACCTCATTAAATCTTACAAAAACTAGCATGCACACAGTGATGAGATATAACACTGTCATATTATAGTCATTCAAAAATTATACTTCTGCCCTGGTAGACTGTAACTTTTTTAAAGCATTAAGTTCTTGACTTATTTACACATCCCTGCTTCTCCAAATCTATTTCATGCAGAAGAAAAAATCAGTGTTTATCGAATAAATAAATGAATAATTAGGTTAGAGTTAATATATGTGCAAACAAATAGACTGCATTCTTTAGTTACCACTTATTTATTTATTCATTCAATTAATTATTTACTGAGTACCTACTATATGTCAAAGACTGTCATTTGTACCAAGGATATAACATTAAACTAAATAAACTATTCTTTTTCATAGACTTTACACTATTTGATAGGAAAAATTCACTTGATTTTGCAATTAGGAGGCTCAAAATGAACATGAAATTTGATATGAGTAAATATGGTTTTTTCTACAGATACTTGACTTAAATACAACAACTGTAGATTCCTATGACCACACATACTAATTAAATAACTAAACAAAATCATGGATCATGGAAGCAGGATGACAGGGAGGAAGGAAAAAGCCATGTAGTAAAGAAAAAATGCATATTACTGTACATGGCATTTCTACTCAACTGTCAAGGAACAAATAACTCCTGTCTTATTTAAATGATTTCATAAAATAAAGAAAAGGGAAGAATGTTCAACCATTTTAAGGAGGCTAACATAACACTGACTTATAAACCATATAAGGACAATACCAAAAAATAAAAAGAAAATTACAGGCCTGTGTTACTTATGACCACAGATACAAATAACAAAAAAAAAGTGTAAAAATAAATAAATGAATGAATTCACAAATAGGACTTAAATTCTATAGGATGTTTAAAAAAAGCTGTAATACATCCTCATCAAGTTGGATTTATCAAAAGAAGGCAAGGTTGAACATCAGAAACACCTATCAATGAAATTCATACTCACAAATTCGGGGATAAAAAACACAGAATTATATCATATATTTGGAAAACATTCCATAAAATTCAACACTTATTTATGTTTTTATTTTTAAAAATTCAGGAGTTTAGGAATAATTAGATGAATATTTACCAAAAACCTACTGTAAACATCAGTTACAGGAAAAACTAAAGATATTCTCTTTGAGATTAGAAACCACACAAGAATGCCCAAGTATTATACTGAACAACCAAGTAATGATGATCCTGGTGAACATAATAAGGCAATAAAAAGAACCATGAGGTATATGGATAAGAAAAAAGAAACAAAACTGATATATAGACATTACGATCAACTGTACAGAAATCTATCACAAACTAGAAAACAAACTGTCATAAGAGTTGAGCCAAGTTGCCAGATGTAATGTTAATGTACAAAAATCAATAGTGTTCCTCAATATCAGCAATAACTAATTAGAAAATAAAGTACAAAATAGCAACAAAAACTGTCTTTTTGCTACTAACCTAATGAAGAATACCCAAAACTATTAATGTAGGAAAAAGATCTATTAAATAATTTAAAAGTAGATCTTAATTCTTTCATGAATGAGATGACTCAGCATTAGAAAAGTATCAATTCTTCCCAAAATTACTTATCTATAATTTCAATCAATTCAAATCAAAATTCTAGAAGGATTTTTTTATGAAATCAGACTGATTTTAAAATATATATTAAAAAACAAAGGTCTACAATAGTGAAAACAATTTAAAAGAGGAGAAGTGAGCCCTGGCTAGTGTGGCTCAGTGGATTGAGCACTGGCCTGGGAACCAAAGGGTCATTGGTTCAATTCCTGGTCAGGACACATGCCTGGGTTGCAGGCTCGGTCCCTGGCATGGGCACACAAAACTCAACCAAACACTGATGTTTCTCTCTCCTTCTTCCTCCCTTCCCCATCTCTAAAAATAAATAAAATATTTTAAAAATTTTAAAAAGCTCTGGCTGGTGTAGCTCAGTGGATTGAGCACCACAGGCCTATGAACCAGAGGATCACAATTCGATTCCCAGTCAGGGCACATGCCTGGGTTGCAGGCCAGGTCCCAACAGGGAACGCACAAGAGGCAACCACACATTGATACTTCTCTCCCTCTCTCCTTCCCTTCCCCTCTAAAGATAAATAAAATCTTTTTAAAATAATTTAAATTTTTTAAAAAATAAAAATAAAATAGAAGTGAGAAGGCACTTTTATCACTTATGTACATGTATTACAAAGCCAAATATAGGGCTGAGAAACAGATTCATGTAAACATGGACATTCACTGTATGCCAAAGATACTGCCAGGAATCACTGGTGATGTACAAATCATACCATAGATGGGGCTGGTAAAACTGAATTCATCATATAGAAAAAAATTACTGGAACCATACTTCATACTACATACCATGGAGAAGCCAAGACTGATCAGAATGTAAATAGTAAAATGTAAAAGACAATGTAAGGGAATGCCTATGACATCAGAATAGAAAAGAAGTATCTAATAAAGACAAAAATACAAACTATATATAAGGTTAAAATTAATGGACTTGTTTATAGCAAAATCAATAATTTCTGTTTCAAGTAACAGACATAGTCTAGTGTACGCTGGCAAACTGTAATAAAAAACATTTACAACATCCTAAATAGTCAATTATCTACCATGTACAAGAAATTTCTGTTTCCAGCAAAAAATAAAAAATGAAAACTAAAACAAGAAATCTTGAGAGCATCATGCTAAGAAAAATAAGTCAAACAGAAAAAATTAAGAATCATATGATCTCACTCATACATGGGATATAAAAACTGAAATTAACAAATGAACAAACCAGGAAAACGAAAACTCAGAGATACATGATGGTACGGTAGTTACCAAAAAGAACCGGGGAAGAAGACAAGTTAAAGGGGGCCAAACATTTGGTGACCAAAGAAGATGTGACTTTGAGTAGTGGGCATACAATGAAATATACAGGTGATGTGCCATAGAAATGTACACGTGAACCATATATAATCTTATTAACCAATGCCACCCTCATTAATTTAATTGTTAAAAAGGTATTACTGCAAAACGAACGAAACAAAAAATATCTTTTCACCTTTTTTCTACATGTAACAGACTAGCCACTTCAGAAGAAAAAATTTGTAATGATCTAGGTGTTTTACTGAAGAAAAAAAAAAAGAAATCCAATACAAAATTGAAAAAGGTTAAAGACTGGGTAGTTTAGAAAAGACTAATCTTAAGTGATTAGTAAGTCGATAGAAAGCACAATGTTACTAGTAATCAGAGAAACGTAAGTTATAACAAAAAGGTATCATTCAATATTCATCAGATTAACAAAAATTAAAAATTAGTGAAATTAAATATTATACATATACCTTATGCCCAGAAATTCTACTCCTAGGCATGGAAACCATAGAAACTTACATAGAGGTCCAGGGGATCATATTTGTTACTCAAGAAATATTAGAGGCAATTTAAATGTTAATCATCATGTAACAGATAATTAAAGCACAGCAAATATAAACCATCAATTTACTATCATGCAGAAGTACAAGGCAATGAGTTACATATAGAGATGATAACAAGGATAGATATTGGCAATAGTGATGAACTTAAAAAATACAAGAAATAGAACTAGATCCATATGACAACACCATCTGAGTAGATTGAAAATACTTTCATATACAAAAATCACCATTTTTCAAGGACACAAGCATAACCATGACCATAAATTAAACACATTACAGTCAGTTGGGGATAGGAGACAAGTGGGCTTGTGGGTAGGAGATGAATGGAAAAAAATGATAAAATAAAACATAAATGACAGCCTTGTGTGAAACAATAATAGTGTGCCACAAATTAAGATACATATGATTTCTTTAATTATCTATACATTAAATTGAAAAAAACTGTCTACTTACTCTAAATGTCATGATACAACTCAATTATATTCTGCTTCATCTTTATATATATATATACATATATATATATAGAGAGAGAGAGAGCAAGGAATGAGAGATGGAAAAGAGAATGGGGAGGGAGACTAGGAGAGGGGAGGAGGGCACTGGAGGAGCAAGGAGAAGACAGCACAGGACTGCTAGGCCTTTTCTCAAATTACTGGAGAGCACCACGAAACGCTGCAGGCCATGGTGTCCACAGACCAGTCCCAAACTGTCTGGCATCATGACCAAGTGACACCATGTTTAATATATGAAGGAGGCAAATGAATAACAGACTGGATAATAAGATATACTCAGACTTACTTTGCTTAGCATTATATTTATAACAACTTGATAGAAACTTCACTGAACTTTGCTATTAAAAATAATCATAGTGGGCTTCTCTCATCAATTTGTCTTTAATGGTACTTTAATTTCAATGTTTCATTTTTTTGACTGACTTTGTATGTATCTGTGTGTCTGCATGTAGGTGTACTACCAAGATACAGATGAGTTCTACTTCATTTATGAGAGTACCATTAATACACATAAGATTTCCCCCAAAGCAGTACTTCTTTCCACCTGCTTTGTATGACAAAGAGAATAACTGTAAGAAAGAATAAAACACTGCTTTCACAAATATCATTTTAATATGTAAAGATTAGCTATTGTTACTTAAATAACTACATTATTAAATTCAGAACTGAAATCTGAATGTGCAAATATTTTTAGGTATTATCCAATAACATGTTGACTGATAGAAATTAATTTACTAGTTATAACATACTATATAGCAAACGTAAAAGATTCAAGAATAAAAGATGTTTTAATAATACTCCCTAAATAAGTTGCTCTTTCCTTACTCTTAATAATAAACACAAAAAATTATCAAAAATGAGAAAGCAGAGTTTGAATTCAATGCATATCTCTATTAGGCAGAGCCGGCTAAAAAACTCACCAAGACAGAATATATGTGTAGACATCGATAAACAGGAGAGAAATCCACCAAATCTTGGGCCCCAGGTACCTGCAAAACAATCAAGATTGTCACAAAATATTCAAACAAAGCTATTAAAAGCAACTGCATTCATTTTTACTACTCAACTGTTAAAACAAACAAACAAACAAACAAAAAGACCAGCTCTAGCTTCTGAAAGAGAAACACAAATCAAACAAACAAACCATGCTCCCAGAAGCCTAGTTTTGGCATTTTGACCACGTGGTTAACAAACTGTGAAGATATCATCGAGGCTGGGAACACAGAAGGACAGATAACAGAGAAGAGTAACAGGTGTCACTGGTCCCGCAAAGGGAAAAGAAGGTGACGATGTACCTTTGAAAATTTGACTTTGCATTCTTAGATGCATGATAGTCTGCATAAAAAACTATGTTTTAGTGGTCAAAACAAAACTTGCCACCAAGGATAAATTAAATGGCCTATAGCCAACTTCTGAAAGGCAGAAAAATTCATGACCATTTAAGTTAGAACACAATCAAAGTACAGAAATATGCTAGGAAAAGAAGGGAGACCATGTGAAAACTAAGATAAAGAATGGGAAAGCCAGAGAGTCCTGGCCACGATGGAGGTGTAGGCAGAAACTTTGCTGCCTACAAGCAAAAGAAGAATAACAACCAATTTAAAGGCATAGAACAACAAGAACTGCCAGAAAATCAAACTGTATGGAAGTCCGACAACCAAGGAGTTACAGAAATATTCATCCAGGTTGGTGGGAGGAGCTGAGATGGGCAGCAGGACAGCCAGGGTGGAGAGGACTATGGCAAGGCTAGGCTAGGCTAGGCTAGGCTAGGCTAGGCTAGGCAAGGCAAGGCAAGGCAAGGCAAGGCAAGGCAAGGCAAGGCAAGGCAAGGCAAGGCAAGGCGGTGGATTGCACAGCTTCCCAAATTCATTCACAGATAAGCTGAAAGGAACAAAGGGAGTGCAAGACAGAACACAAAACCCCAAGTTTCAGTGCGGGAAAATAAAGGCTAAAAAACCCTTCCTGTCAAAATGTGGGGTTTGGGGCTGCAGCAGTGGGAAACTCCCAGTATCATGGGAGAGTCCAATAGAGAGGCCCACAGGGTCCTAAAATGTACACAAACACACCCACCTGCAAATCAGCAACAGAAAGCGCGCAATCCTCTTGTGGGAAGAGACGGAAGTGACAGTGGAACGAGAGCCCAGCAAGTCGCATAGTTCCCTCTCTGAGCCCTCCCCCACAGACAGGGTTGCCCAGCCCAGGCAAATACCTAAGACACTGCCCCTTAAAATGTAACAGGTATGCAGAGACAAAGAATTATGGTCCAAATGAAAGAACAGATCAAAACTTCAAAAACAGGACTTCGGTGATGAACAGATAGATAGCCAATCTATCAGATGCAGAGTTCAAAACACTTGTAATCAGGAGGCTCACAGATTTGATTGAGCTGAGTCACAAAATGAAGCATACCCAAAATGAAGTAAAGCACCATATTCAGGGAACCAACAGTGAAGGAAAGAAAACCAGGAGTCAAATCAAAGATATGGAACAGAAGGAAGAAATAAACATTCAACTGAAACAGAATGAAGAAACAAGAATTCAAAAAAATGAGGAGAGCCTTAGGAACCTCCAGGAAAAACTTTAAATGTTCCAACATCCAGATCTTAGCAGTGCCAGAAGGAGAAGAGCAAGAAATTGGAAACTAATTTGAAAAAATAATGAAGGAGAACTTCCCCAGTCTCGCAAAGGAAATAGTTCCAGGAAGTCCAGGAAGCTCAAAGAATCTCAAAGAAGTTGGATCCAAGGAAGCACACATCAGGGCACATCATAATTACATTACCAAGATTAAAGATAAGGAGAGAATCTTAAAAGCAGAAACAGAAAAGGAGACAGTTACTTACAAAGCCATTGCCATAAGGCTATCAGTTGATTTCTCAACAGAAACCTTACAGATTAGAAGGGGCTGGCAATAAATATTCAAAGTCATGAAAGGCAAGGACCTACATCCAAGATTACTCTATCCAACAAAGCTATCATTTAGAATGAAAAAAAAGATAAAGTGCTTCCCCAATAAGGTCAAGTTAAAGGAGTTCATCATCACCAAGCCCTTATTATATGAAATGTTAAAGGGACTTACCTAAGAAAAAGAAGATAAAAAAACATGAACAGTGAAAGGACAGCAAACTCACAGTTATTAAGAACCACACCTAAAACAAAAGCGAACTAAGAGGACAGCTAGATCAGGAGAACTATAGAAATGTAGATCACATGGAGGGTTAGCATCAGGGGAGTTGGAGGAGGAGAGGTGGGGAGAAGGTACAGAAAATAAGTAGCATAGATGGTAGGTAGAAAATAGATAGGGGGAGGGCAAGAATAGTAGGGGAAATATAGAATCTAAAGAACTTGAGACACATGGTCATAAACTAAAGGGGGGAATGGTGGGGGAGAGGGTGTGCAGGGTAGAGGGGAATGAAGAGGAAAAATAGAACAACTGTAATGGCATAATCAATAAAATATATTTTTTAAAAAAGAATCTCATAGTGCTATGTAGTATGTAAGCACTCAAACAAACTCTTACGTGAATCCAAAGATTGATGGTAAGGTGCTCAAATCCTACAACATCCCAAGCAAAATTACTGAGACAACAGTTTATAGGCAAATATAGTTAAAAAAAATAATAGTAAAAAGCACATAAAAACTGTAACTTTAAGAGTACAAATGGCCCTGGCTGATGTGGCTCAGTGGACTGAATGCTGGCCTGCAAACCAAAGGGTCACAGCTTGGATTCCCAGTCAGGGCACATGCTTGGGTTGTGGGCCAGTTCCCCAGTAGGGGGCATGTGAGAGGCAACCACACCTTGATGTTTCTCTCCCTCTTTCTTCCTCCCTTGCCCTCTCTCTAAAAATAAATAATTAAAATCTTTAATAAAAAAGAGTACAAATAGACACTCATTTTCATCTTAACATTTTTAAGGCAACATTTTTAACTGTTTCAAAATGAAGCAGCATGTGATAATTTAGGCACACTTACTTGAAATAACTGCAACACTAAAGCACCTTTATAGTCTCACCTCTTTGACTGTGAAGTGGAGATTTAAAGAAATTTATTTTGTCTTTCCAGAAAACCAGAGTCTACCAGTGAAAACTACAGCTAAGTGAAACACACTCTCAAAAGAAGAAAAATAGTAAAATTCATTTATAATTGTATTTAAACTACACAAAAATTAAACAGGCAGCCGAAAAAAGAAACATTTAAAAAATCTGATCTGTATAGGAAATGAAACTTTTTTCTTTTATTTAGAATTAATGATTATAAAGATTAATAATAATGATTATTATAAGTATACTTGCAAAAAGTTAAAGACATTTCCTTATTTAATTTTGAATAAAAATTTAATCACAACTTTGTATTTATGTTCTTCACGCAGTTTATTTTGTTTTGCTTTGACTCAGAGCTGCAGTTCCATTCAAAAGGAAACTAAGTGCCTCAAGCCATTCTCTACACAGAGCCTTGATCCTTTCACTCGTGGACCCACCCTTACAGAGTAAACATCCACATCAGGGGGCAGTTTCCCTATAAATCTGTGCTGAATAAGCTAATAGGGCCTCTTACTACTGGACTAATAAGACCAGTTTATCTGGGCCAACTAAACACACACACACACACACACACACACACACACACACACACAGGGGAGACAAAGGTCTTTCCTATCATCTCCACCAAATTTTTACAACCAAACCTATTCTCTGGGAGGCTGTCTTGACGTCATCATACTCAACTTCCAACTGTTTAAAGTGTCCTGACCTGGAAATACTAGCTTTATTGTTTCATAGCTCTGAAATCATAGTCCAGTTAAGTCCTCCTAAGCCCATGACTGCCTGCTTTGAAAGCAATATACAAAAATCTTGACAAGATGGAGCAAAATGGGGCTTCAGTTTACAAACTTTACCTCCCTCCTCAAAATAGTCTGCTATTTAGAAATCATTTTTCCTCTATGCTCCCTCCTGTGAGGAGCACCAGGAAAACTGCGAGGAACCAAACAGTGCTGTGAGGAGAAAGGCATGTAAAGCATGCACTGACTCATGTTGCTTTCAGCTAGATGTGTTTTCTCTATTTTCACTAATGAAAAAGAATCACATCTAGGGAAAGGCAAAAGCAAGAGAGCAACCTCCACTGCACGTGAAGGAATGCTACACGTTTGAAAGGATAAGCAACGAACTTTCAAAAGTCTAAATAAATGGGGTGGGGAAGAGAACAAAAGACAGTTTTTCTGACTCACACGGGCCTGTTTTCAGGTCCACCTTTTGCTCTCCATTTAAAATGCTAAATCTCTGTCAAAACTGTCTTCATTCTTCTTCCCCTCCTTTGCCCCTCCCTTCCCTCAAGTTGCAAGAATGATTCGAGCAGGTTTAGGTTTCAGCTGGGGCAGAGGGAGGGGTCCAAGGACACTTTCCTAAGCTAACAATGACTGTCTCTAATGGTTTCTGTCTCCTAACAAAAGCCATGACTCTGTCATTATCAGCTTCATCTAATTTTTCCTTTCCAAAGTAAATAACACAGCTCTTGCATTTTACACATGTCCAAGTTTGACAAATCATTATTGACTGAGACTGTAACTGATAAGAGATAACTTTGTGGTAGGACGTTGTCATTTCCTCTCATAAGGGCTTTCTTTCTGAGATACAGAAACACGATTAAAATAGTTAAACATTTCCTCTGCCTGGCAGTCAGGAACTCAAGACTTTAAGATACTGGAGTCTGCGTTTTTCTAGTTCAAATAGATCTATGAAGATATTAATCATAGCCACAAATAGTACATTCGAGAGTATTCTTTTTTTAACTAGTTCTTTTCCTTATGAATTCACATGAAATAATTTCATCACCAAGGACAGCAGCCACCCAATTCCCTATATAGTTTCTGCACAGAGAGCGTTAGTGCCTTCTGTCAGCTCAAACCTCTTTATTTTCAGAAAAACAAGTAGTAAGATTTTAGATTCTGTAACTAAGAAACGTACCTCTGAAAGCACATTATAATATATGTTAGGCT